AGCATAGTTCTGGTCGCATGCACATTTCATTGTGGAGTTACTTGTGTGAATGATTTGTTCAAATGTGGAGCATATCATCTGTGTCAGGGATAAATTGTTGTTTTATTGGTTGCTGACATTTTAGCTGCACTATTTTTGCTACTTAATAGACAAAATGGGCATGAACTAATTTTTCAAATGTTCGCGCGATACTTCCTCATTCTCTGTAACAGGGTAGGTTTCTAACATCCATCTGTGAGATGAGGCCTGCTCACAACTGTTGCAAGGAACTGGATGAAGGTGTTTGTCGCTTTTCCACTGAAAATTATGAATGATTTAAAAATAGCGGGTCTTGTCACGGAGAGAAAGCTGGCCAAACGGCACAGATCTGTGAGCAGTTTACGTTAGAGTGTATGTGCATGGATACCATATATGCATACTTAGGTGCTTTAGAGTATAAGTGTAATCAAATGCTAAAGTTTCCAAGATTGGGTGGTGAAATCGGGTAATGTAATGGTAGGAGAAGCTCAGGATGAGTTCGATTCCCTCTCGGCACATGCCAGAAATGCGTGGAGCGTCAGCGCGGTGAGTGTGAAGATTGCATGTTAGTGATCAGTCTGATGCTTTCACATCGAACATGGCTGTGCCAGATTTTTCGATTTTGCGCTGCACACTTCGAAACGGCCACCCATTAATGCACGGCGTCCAGCAGTAACGGGTTGCGTCCTTTACATTTCCCCGTGTTTGCAGTGATATTCTTCAGGCTACCTCTCTGATGAAGAATTTTGCTTATTTTGTCTAAACATTCTTCGCTGCACTCGTTGTGTTCGTCACAACAAGCTTTCGTTTGCCTCTTTTGGTGGACGCAGCTGTCACAACTCATGAAAAAAAGATGAGCCTCTCGATGTAAAATTTATCTTCGTATTCCTTCAATTCTTGGGTACGAAAATGTTTTGGTAAAGAAGCGATTTCGGGGACCAGAAAAGCTAGAAAATTGGAGGTTTGCCAGGATGTTCTCCGGGATTTCCGAAAATTTAGGTTCGTCTTTTATGCACGCCCATGCCCTACATACGAACACATAAAATTTCAAAATTAAAAATTATTGACGCCGTGCTAACTCGGGGGCAAGAACAGATGAGTTGTTAAAGTTTCACGAGGATATTCCTCATCCATACCGGGGTCCACATGTTCACAATAAACTCTCAGCCTGTGGGACTTATGCTAATAATTTCAAATTTCTACAACCAAACTCGCTAGGAAGTTAAAATTTCGTGATGCTGGACTGCTTCTATGTGCGGCTAACCTGAGGAAAAATTTCTTGTTCCTTTAAAATCCCGTGCGCAGATGGAATTGAATGCTGATAATTTTGTATTTTCGTAACCAAAGCAACTGAAGTGTTGAAATTTTGTGAACTTGGTCTGCAGCAAT